AAGGCCGTTAGTCAAATATGAGGATGCATACCGCAAGTCTATGGGATCTCTCGTATAAAATTAACAGTTCCAAAAGTTGTAAATTTGATTAAAAAAGTTTATTCTTGCTATAAATGCAAGCTGTCTCACCTGATCCGCAACAGAGTTCGGATATCCGGGACTAGTTAGGATTTGATCGAGAAGGCCGTATGACGATCGAATATAATCAAATGAGTTGCAAGCTAAAAACTGGATACATGAACAGAACCAAGTTGTGTTGCCTCTACATTATTACTATGCTTTACACAAATGAAATTTATTTTTATAATTATTATTTGAGCCAACATTTCATGTGGTCTGTTAATGGGCTCTTGCATAACCCGACACACGTGTTTCGGCCTTGGCCAGCCTCGTCACTTGACGGCAGTTGCGTAAATCGTCGTCTCCTACTCTAAGAAGGGGGACTGGAGCAGCCGGGAAAATTGGTTAAGTTCAAAGGGCCTGCTCGGCTACGAGGCTACTCAAAGCCTAAACACGTGTATCGGCTATACAAGAGCTCATTAACAGACCACATGACACGTTGGCTTAAATAATAATCATGAGTTATCTTGAAATTTAAGCGAGGTCTCAAAAAAAAAACAAAATGTCCACAATTTAATGTAATGTTTTAGAAAGTCAGAATTTGATTCAATCATTTCGGGTTTTCTTAAACGATCTTTTGTCAAAGTTTCCCAACCAAAGAACACTGCATCACATGCTTATATTGAAACTTTCTAAGATCTCAATTTTTCCAATTTTATTGTAGTACTAAAGTGGATCGTTGCAAACTTTAGTATGCAGACTTTAGTGCAGGAATTAGTGAAGTGATAAGTTTATAAAAAACTGTGCACTTTTGTATGATTTTGTCTTTCTGATGTCAGTGTACTCGTTGCGATCCTCCACATTACGCACCGCGATGCCACATGCCTCTCACAGGCTTGTATCTAAAGACAGCGATCCTTTCTTCTTGGAACTCGAAGTAGAGCTGGAAACCGGCTCGGCGCCGGGAACTTGAGCAGCGCCGAAGCCAACCACTTACCCTAGCACTAGAGTCCTTTCGCCCTCATCTCATCTTCCTAGACATGACCGCCCCGGGGAGCTAGCCCCTCCATCTCTTTCCTCTCTTTCTCACCATTGCTATTCTTGTTCGCACATTCTGTACTAACACCTGTGACACCTATCCTCCCGTTGACGGCCGAGTGGCTTGAGCGGGAACCATGATACTCCCTTTTCCCTATCTCGTGGACGAGTAGCCCAGTGGGTTTTTCTTTATCTAAAAATCCATTAGGCGCCATATCTTTCTTCTAGCTTTTCACGCAGAAGTCGAAATATCAGGTTAGTGGTCTTTCTGTGGTGTGCCTTGCATACCGAGTAATCCAGTCGGTAACGAATCTCCTCCATCAGTTTTCGTTGGGCACCTCACGTGCCCGACCCACCATATCTTCGATAGCCTGACGTCTAGAACTGCACTTCGACTTTCGATCGCTGACGTAGGCTAAAACTTTGGATTCTGTCTTTTATTCGCGAGAAATGGGATAATCTTAACATCAACCTTCCGACTGCGCATTCAATGGCGTCAAATGATCCTTCAATTTTTTTAAGTTATATAATTTTCGTTTAGTTTGGCTTGTTATTCGTACTGATCACAACACTGGATTTCGCACTTTTTGTCTATTTTGATTCATCTTGCCACCTTAACATTGCTCATGCGTCTTGTGAATCACCACGTTTCATTAGGAAACCGGATCAAATCCTTATTTGCCCGCACGCTCACTTTGTTTGAGCCATTTTTCAATGCCGTGATATCTCTTCTCTTGCACAAGTTATTGAGCCGTGCAGCCATAGATAGTATCAGTTGAATCCAACATTATGTAAAACCATAACTCTGGTCACACCCACTCTTTCATCGTGCATAGATATTATAGCACTATCATAGTCAGCAAAGGACGAGATAGTGCAGTGGTTAGTGGTGCGGTGTATCGGAAAACAAGGTAAAAGGGCAAGGCACTGACCCAATTTCCTTTTCATCTTTCCTTTCAAGCAACTAGGAGCCCCTTAACTAAGCTGGCCGAAGATTCAGAAAAATCTCCTTGACCAGCAATCTACGACGTTCACAAAGATACAATATCAAGCAGAATGCGAAACATCAAGTGAATTACTCGAAGACTGATAGAGCATTGCGAGGAAATGAATCGAATGCAATAGTGCTAGATCAGTGCAGTAAACTGTACTGGCCGGTCGGGTAAAAACAAATGTAGAAAAATTGTAGTCACTGAAGCCCGTCAATCTACCATTAGTTGCAGTGTTTTACTTCTACATTTTTGTTATCTTCGTTTCGCTATTATTACTATGTTAATCCGCTGAATCTCATTTGACTTTTCAGTTGGCAGGACGTCGCGCAGCGAGTTATTATGACAGTGTGGAAAAATTCCAATGAAGTTAATATTCTTATCACTTTTGAAAGGGCTCAGTCGTCTGAAAAGGGTTGAATCTGATTGAAGAGACTTCAAAAAGGGTATTTTTGGATTATGAATGCTAAAACAATCACGACATATTGAACTGTTCGTCAAAAATAATACTACACATAGCCGTAAGATTTCAATTTATCGGTAAGACTCAACAATTTCCCGAGATTAGTGCACATCAAGTTGAAACCACTACAGAGTTAAAGGAAAGGCTATGTCCTATTGTATCATGTTGTATCAACATTTCATATTATCTAATATACTCTGCCATGAACATTATTAATTTTGTCAGCGACTATTTTCAACGAATTATCAAGGAGATGAATACAAAGTCTATTGAGGTTTGAGATACAAGCTTGCCCAGGCCATACAATAAAAAGCCGTTTCCTATAAATTTAGAAGTACAATTTAAAAAGTTGTGCCTTTTGAATTACAATTACATAACATCGTCGAAAAAAATATGGAGAAAAGATTTGGCGTGCTTTGCTTATCCAACTATGTTGCTTTTTTCATTGGAAAGTAAAGGGGACAACTTGATGGTGATTTCACTAAAAATACGATTATAGAAGTCTCTTTAATGATATTTCACTTTTCCAAAGAAGCAAAGTTTTCTTGAAACAAAATCTAACTATATACTACTAAAAACCTCTGTGAAGTTGAAACAGCGTACTCTGAAAGCAAAGAGTTATCTTTTCTTCCTTATTAAGACGTAATGCAGCCATAGTTTCACAAATGAAGCTTATTACCAATATTGGCACTTCTCAAGCTACCGATTTCCCAAGAACATAGTTCAAAAAAGAATCTCATGTTTTACAACAGTTAGTAATATGTTACTCTTCGTAACGATGCTGTTTTCTCGTTTAAACATAGTAAATTTTTTGACACATGGGTGTTCTTTTACTAAAAACCTTTAAGAAAGCCTCTTCCATGATATTCATAATTCAATAATGACAATGTCCTCTCGGAACCTCAGTTTACCACACAATTTCCACTATTGCAGCGCGCGACGCGCGATGTGATAAACGGCTACACCTATATGTGCCACATGGATATCAAAGGGTTATTCATGTTATGTACACAAAAGTTCAAGCATCCACTTTCGAACTGGAGCATCACATGAGTTTACCAAATAGCCATGTGGCATCAATCCACCAGCAGTCTCAACAAACAGTCAATCACAGAGCCTCTAATGTGGTCCTCTCTTTCAAGAAGGTATCATGCGCCCGACTGCTCTCGTAATACCGTAGAGACGATTAAATGCAGAATCAGCGTATGCAGTAACTTACGAGAGCGACTGATGTGCTAAGTCAGTTTCGAAAATCAAACTCATTTTCTGACTTAAGAGAGACGAGAACTTTGGTTGACTCTGTGTCAGGAATCGAACCAGTGACCACGCGCATGATGCCTCTCTTGACGAGCTATCATCGTTACATGATATTTACAGTACAGCCATTGAAAGTAAAAATAACACAGTGAGTATATTTCTCATGAAGTCGTCAAGCTGCTGAAAACCTCACTATGACTTGTGATCGCAACGCAAAAATTTTCATATAGCTCAGCGCACTGAAAGTTTGAAATTTTGCTTTAGTACACTTCAAAAAGGCTTCGGAAAAAAATTCTGCACGAGTTCTGCTCATTTGTACTGATTCATCACTGAGATGCTAGCAAACTTCCCTGCTTTTCACTGCCTCTCTACAAGGTAGTGAAAAGTGAATATGAAAAAACGTGACTAAAATCTTATGACCAATAGAATAAATTGACACAAGTATTTATACAACAGGTAATTACAATTAATAATGAAATAGCTCAAGCCAACTTCTTAATGCCCAACTCAATTATGAAAACAGAATACGATGCTAAATTTGGCCACAAAAATGCCAAGACACTACCACATCATAAACCGGATGTTCAAGTGATAAACTCGAACAGCGACATACCCTTTCAGGCAGCGAGCGCTTGCACTATACCATGGACGTTCTTACTACGAGACTCTCTCAGCCATGTATTACTCTTATTTTTATTAGAGGCCACTAGTTAGCGAGATCGATTGAACACAAATCGAAGTAGAAATTGACATTGTGATTCCACTTACGACTTCACCTTGGCTGTGTTCGGTGCTAATGCACAATGCTCAGTGATAAAGTATTACTAATTAATTCTTGATTTTATGATCATCAATATAGGGAATGAGGAGCGCATGTGGCGCAGTGGTTAGAGGTGCTCTGAGTCGTACACGAGGTTAATGGTTTGATCCAGCGCTTATGGCTCATCAGGTCATCCATCGGGGTCGGTAAATTGGTACCAGACTGGTCTCAGGCTTGTCTGGGAGGATAAGCAGCACTGTCTCGGTTCAACGGGAGGCCACCGCGACTCACTGTAAAGGCCAGATATGCATTCAATCACCTCAAACAAAATTAAAAATTGAAGACGAATGCATGGCGCATCTCTCAGGGATTGATCAACGCCAAGAGCCCTTTTTATCCTTTGAAGAAGAGATCGAGTGGTAGCAAAATGGTGACCACTGTGGTGTAGTAGTAGCATTCACCCCTCATATGGCTGAGATGTGGGTTCAACTCCCGTCTGAGGTCGAGTTTTGCTGACCACTCAATTCGCTTGGGTGTGTTTAGGTAATCATAATACTGCGAAAAATCAGTGGAAATACGAAATTTTAAGAATCATCGATTCAGTTATTAATCAACGTAATCGTAAGCGATCAGTAAAAAACAGAACGTGTGCTCCTAAATAAAACGTACTGAGACGGAATTGCAGTTTGAATCCATGCCCACTTCTTGAACGGTCGCTAACAAAATGCACATATAGAATCTAAACGAAATAAAACAATTGTCTTATAAACGAAAATTTGGTAACTTATCTAATTGGAAACTTATAATTTTAAGTTCTTGTAGAAATACGAACCTATGGAGTGAATACAATTTACTGCCTACTTCAACTTCGCGCAAATACAGTGTGCGCGTAGCAACGAGTATATTTGAACGAACTTTAATAGAACTTGATTCGACAAACCTTATTATATGAATAGTCAAGTGTTGTGTTAACGTCTTTAGATCCACAGTACTTTTGCCCAGAATGGAATGAACTATAATGAAATATTCAAAATAATTCCAAAAAAAAATGAAATAGATTGATGAAAGGTGCTGCAAATATACAAACACAAAAAAAATGTAAATAAAGTAATCGAGAAGTAGATAAACATGCAGAGAAAATCTCCTGAAAGGTCGTCAGAAGACAAGCACTCACTCTCCGTTGTCTTGTGAACTATCGAGATCAGGAAGTAATGCGATAAAATCAAATGGACAGCCAGCGGCATCTTCCAGACTCAGCATTGTAATCTATCGAAAAGTATGCTTTTACGTAAACAAGTAGCACGAGGATTTTAATGAAACGCCTCTTTTACAGATAATGAGAAGAATCAATACTCGTAATTCATAGACCATCCCTCATATCATCAGAGCACGAGAGAAATATTTCTGAGATCCTACTTTCACTCGCAATCCGGTCATGATCGGTCTCTCGATCGTCCATTTGCAATGAACGTTATTCTCGTAACCGACATCTGGTTTGAAAAAAAAATCTCGTCATTGAGTTTAGGATAAAACGGATAAAAGTGATGATGAACGTTTCATAACTTTAAAAAGCTTTTCAGTAAAATAGAATTACGGCTCAAGGTTTATAAGTTCGTGACTATTTTTTACTCTGAGAATTTGAAATGTAGATGGAATTTTTGGCTCATCCTTAGTTTTATAAATCGTCACCTCATCGTCGCTAGAGGGTAATCCTTGCTTCTAACATAAAGTACAGCATACAGTAGGAGAGGTTATTCCACATTTCCATCTGGATGTTTAACAACAAATTAACCCAGGAATCACTGGCTCCATGAATGAAACCGTGTTAAAGACACTAGTCCTCGTCCGACTTATACCACACTCTATGAAGATGTTGAAACTATGAGGACTCTAAGAAAAAGCCTGATACTCAAGTGGCGAAATTCAATCGAACGAAGATTCAGCTAGGATATTGAAGAATTTTCAGATGAATTAATCAAGTATTTCATTTAAAAAGTTATAAGTGCACAATTTACGGCAACTTTCATAATGAAAATCAACATACCTTTACCCGGAGGAAGTGGATTGCGCAGTTCTTGCCACTCCCAAGTAGGTATCATCACAGAACCGCAGGAATACACTTAAAATTGTTTTTATCCTCGAAATGTGGTAAGGATGACTTTTTTGCGTACATGCTAGGATATTAAAACTTCATGACTTCAGTAAAAGTATGGTGCAGAGTCGAAATATGTAAGAGAAGGTATAGCATGCACATTTCATTTTTGGTTTTCTTCTAGTTTTAGAATTCTCAGAAATCCCAGAGTATTGCTACGCATCCATAACAATTGTAAGTCTTACCATACAAATGTTTTCAGTCATTCCAACGCCTCTATTTTGAAATTACGCTATTATTCCAAAATTCTAGTGTTTTACTGCATTTTTAGCAGTGCTATAGTGTTCCATATGTACCTAAGAGAATTGAGTCGTGAGCAAAGATACGAGCTCAGACGGGAGTCAAAAGCGCGTTTTATCCATATCGGGGACGCGTGCTACCTGTGACGCGGTATATATGGAACATCATAACACTGCGAAAAATTTGATAAAAACACTAGAAATTCCGAGTATTATTTAACACAATGGCTGTCAGCTCGACTAGGTTTATGAAGCGAAATCACATACCCGACCATAATTGTTAAAGCTTGGTGGCTGACAGCTAACATAGAGATGTTGAAGAATGAGTGATGGTGCGAATGAGCCCCGGTGGTGTATGGTACTACGCGTCCCCGGTATGGACGAAATTCCGGTTCGACTGTCGTATGACTGAGGTCGTATTTTTACTCACCACTTAATTCTCTTAGGTATATATGAAACTAATACTCCACTTTGTTAGTGCCAGAGAAGAAACACTATTAAATAAAAATTATGCATGAATAAACGTCTTCTAGTTGCTTAAATGTTCTATGGACACCGTAGGCAGATGATGCAAACTATATGAGAGATTAATAATAAAATCGTGCAATTCACCTTTCTTATCTGTTTTTTTAGAAATTTCTGTGCCATTAATTTCCGTTCGTTTTGGCACACTCTCCCATCTGAGTTTGAATTCACTTCGAGGCGGAGCGAGAAACGATATTTCAAGACGAGAATACGGTAGGTAAATGTCTGAATCATGAGAATCAATGTGTTATAAACACATAAAACCATATGCAAAATCGTATGCAAAAATTATAACGTAAAACCAAAATATAATCATTGGAGATTCATATTAGTCAGATTTCATTGTAGTGGCTGCTTTAGTATTGGGCTGTCCCATCATTACTTTGGCACTAGAACACTTTTGTTGATTCAATTACTATTTACTAGGTCATCTAATAAACTTTAGCACTAGAGCAATATAACGAAATTTATCAACTAGAAATAATCAAAATTGCTCAACAACACAATTCAAAATTTGCGCCATCAGCCTGAACAGATTTTTTCCATCTCCTACGCAACATAGCGATAGCGCTCTCTGCAGAATTTCCTGAGCTTTCTTTTGCTAACAAATCTGTCCATACTTTCCGCATCGTGGGCGCTCAACGAAGTTTTTATCGCAATTTGCTACTTAATGAGTACGAATTGGGACGTGATGCACAGGCCGTCTTTAAGAACATCAACTGTGCAAAGGCTCAAAAATTCTTGTCCAAGCAAACCAATTCGATTCTGTGCTGGTCGACTAAGGGGGCATGTCGCCAAATTGGCAAACAGAAAGTTAGCCGAAGTGGGCGAAAAGTTACTGGATCATTCTCCGTACCACCCTGACTTGTCGGCGTCTGACAATCACTTCTTCCGGTCGTTGAAGCAGTTCGTGTGCATAAAGAAGTTGCGAGACATCAATCATTTGCTGAAATCTTTCCCTGAATCAAAGGATGACAAGTTATATGAGCGCGGTGTAGATTTGTTACCCAAAAGATGGCAGGCATGTTTTCAGGCTGATGGCGTATACTTTGATTAGTTTTGTTTAGCAATATCAATCACTTCTGATGGGTAAATTTGGTGTTCATTGTCGTAGTGCTGAAACTTATGAGAAGACCTATTATATTCGTAAAGTATAAACGAACAAAGCTGGCACTGTTCCATTTTGATACCTAAAACCGCAGCGCGCGAGTCCTTCTATCTCCTTTCCTTGACAGAAGTTACTACAACATTCTCCAACGTACTGCAACTTTTTGGCAATAGCAGGATATGAAGTAGAAAAAACTGAATAAAACGACAGCGCAAATTCAAGATTGAGACAACATAAGAGCTCTCTTTGTGGGTTCAAAATAACTTAAAAAGTTAACTGCTGCAACCACGTATGCTCCGTAGTACGTCAATTCTAATGTATATTGAGAACCTACAGCATTCCACATGCAAAGTACTGTTCATTGATGAACAAGAAATCAGATCATTATAAAAAGCAGTACCGACCAGCTGGTGGGATAAATCCAACCACTCTAACACTTCCCGGTCGTTCAGTCTGCGACATCGCATATCTAAGGTATGCCATATCCCATGCTGGTGAGAGCTGAAAAGAAAAATATTTACATATGGTTTTGATATTGTCTTTTATGGACAACTTATAAAGCCCGATACACGTGCTTCGGCCTTGACAGCCTCATTAGTCGAGCGGTACAGTTCGTCTTAACCAATCCTCTCGAGGGCAACCACCTTTTCTTATGTAGAGTAGGCAACGACAAACGATTTACAGGTGCCATCGAGTGAAATAAATCACTAGATGGGCAATGCTTTACGCTCGATTGATCTTCGCTGGTATTTTCGAAATATCTCACTAATTTATAGGAGCATGTGGAGCCTCGAGAGGATTGGCCATGACGGAAGGTACTGCCACACTGATGTGGCTGTCAAGGCCGGAACACGTGTATCGGGCTCTCAAAGTTTCTCAAAAGACCACATGACGTTTTGGCTCAAAAATAATGAATTAGATTTTGAGTATGGTCTTGATAAAACACTCGGAACAAAAGGTATAAATTTTTTTAGACCGTATAAAAGAAATCACTTACTATTAGACCAATTTTCTTCGTGGTTTCGAATCCAATATCTTTCTCATCAGGAACTTTAATTTGATCAATATGAACAAGTAGACCCTGAATATCGATTGCTTTGGTCTCACATTCACACTGCCACAATATCCATCAAAACTTCAGTATATTAATTCCAAGGGAACATTTTAGAATTGAGAACACGACGCGGAACAAAATTAACCTAATGCAAAGATAGGATCACAGTCGTACCATAATTGATCATCAGTTAATAACTATCTATAAATACACACTTGGCATGCGATACTTCCGTACCTTCTCTGGATCTCCTTCAACAATCCAAATCGCTTCAATATGCGTCTCAGTGAGCGGTAACAGCGGCTGCTGAATGGTATGAGAGGTCGTGACTCCACCATGAGCTTAACCAATCCATGTTTAGTGATACAACATATTGTGTTGGTTATTCCTAAGAATACGTGAACTAAAATTTCTCAATGCCCACAT